TAAGGGAAGCATACGCAATGACACAAAAGCCCCAATCAGGTAGTGAATCTCAGCAGCCCTGCCTCCATTTTCAGATGTCTCCGTTTTTCCCATCCACACTGAGACGGAGCAGCAGCGTTTCAGAATGAAAATGGCCTATTCAATGTTTCCAAAATGCTTCGTTTTCGGCGCTCGAAAACTCCGGTGTAGTGTGGACGGATGGCGTAACCGTGGCAAAACTTATGCGTTTTCAAACTAAAACGCATTAGTGTAAACAGGGCCTAACATCACTTCCTGCAGCAACCTCAACCCGGGCTCATTGTGGAAACGCATCCCGGGAGGTACGTATTCGAGCGTTTTTTTTTGTTTTCGCGGATCTGCGAGAGGCCGCTGTGCGCGTTTTTTCGCGTTTTTTTTTAAAAAAAAAAAAAGCAAAAGCCCCCGTCTTCGATTTCGACCGCGTTTTCGAATCCCGCCGCGTTCTCGCCCTTATTTTTCGGATTCCGTTTTTCGTCTTACCTGATTTCCGGAACCCGCCGTTCCCCGGACTCAATCCCGGTCGTCGTCCACCGCGGCCGGCTCCTCCTCCTCGTCCGGGGCCTCCGCTCCGCCGACGCAACGCTGTGAGCTAGGCGGACAAACTGATTGCGTCGGGAAAGCCCTCCACTCGGAGGCGAGCCGTCGGCCGGCGAGCGCGAAGAGGAGGGGCGCAGCGGCGCCACACCGCCCCGCGGCGTTCGCTCGAAAAAAAACAAACGCGGCCTTTCGTACCTCCGGCCACCTAAATTGCAGCCTCCAGAAACGTCCGCGGGGCTACCTTTCCAGAATGAGCTTGGGTTGAGCAACCTAGTTTTCCCATGTGATCTCCCATTAAGGTACTGACCAGGCGCAGCCCTGCTTAGCTTCAGTGGGCGACTATGTGAGAGTTGCAGAGAGCTAACTGCCAGACAAAAGGTGAAATAGTTTGTGTTCATATCATCTGCAATGAAATACAAGTGTGAAAGTAAATTTGGAAATCACTACTTTCTTTTTATTTGCGTTTCCCATTCTTTTTCTGATTTGGGGTTGTAGAAGCAAAAATAAACAATAAAACCCATCACTGCACCTATTTCAAGCAACATGCTAAATAGCTATGCGTTTAAAAACTTAAACAATGAAAAAAATATTTTTCTAGTGAAACCATCTCACGTTCACGCCATCAATCCACCAGGTGATTTACAAGAAAGCAAAACCTTCCAGGTGGCAAAAATAAATTGACATGCTGCTGAAGTTGCAGGACAGGAACAACAAGAATATTCTTCAGAGAATATTAATGCCTTTAGATCAGACTGGGTTTATCTTCTTTTTTTTTTTTTGTTTGAACACACTTAGCTTATTATAGATTATGTTTTTTGCCATGTGAAGTGGGTAGCACGATCGCCTCACAGCAAAAAGGTCGCTGGTTCGAGCACCGGCTGGGTTAGTTGGCATATTTGTGTGGAGTTTACATGTTCTCCCTGTGTTTGTGTAGATTTCCTCCGGGTGCCCTGATTTCCCCCACAGTCCAAAGACATGTGGTACAGGTGAATTGGGTAGGCTAAATTGTCCGTAGTCTTAGAGTGTGAATAAGAATGTATGGGTGTTTTCCAGTGATGGGTTGCAGCTGGAAGAGCATCCGCTGCCTTTAACATATGCTGGATCAGTTAGCGGTTCATTTCACTGTGGTGACCCCAGATTAATTAAGGGACTGAGCCAAAAAGAAAATAAATGAATGAATTTGCCAGAAAAAGCTGATGTTAACTCGGATCTGCAATCTTTCTTATCTGTCATTATACACACACACACTCCCTAAATCCCAACTACATACCTATAATGCGCCATTTACAGCAAAAAGACATTTTTGATGAGCAGTAGATGGACAAAAACATCAAAAGATGCCTAATATGATTGTTAATTTAAAGTTTTTTACATTCTTGATCACGAGCATCTAAGACAAAACAGCATCACAATTCAGCAGCTCATAGAAAGATGAGCTCATTTGATTTGGCATGAGGAAATAATAAAACCCTGCTGGCGTTCATCTGTCTTTTTATTCTTGCTACTTCACTGCTAACCCTGTAAATACATGACAAACGACATTTTTAGTCAAATGTGGGAAAAAAACACAACTGAGTCATCTGCAATACTAATATGAAAAGCGATCTGTCAGGAAGCCATGAATCCTGTCACGTGAAATAAACAAACTACACACACACATCATCTTCATGTAAACTGCTTACTTCTTATAAGTATACTACTATAGTCTTATTTGAAGTTATGACTGTATGACTATTATGACTATATTACTACTGTATGACTAAACTCATTCATTCATTTTCCTTCGGTTTAGTCACTTATTTATCAGGGGTCGCCACAGCAAAATAGAACCGCAAACTATTCCAGCATATATTTTACGCAGTGGATGCCCTTCCAGCTGCAACACAGCACTGTGAAACACCCATACACATTCACATTCACACATGCACTCATACACTATGGTCAATTTAGTTCATCCAATTTTCCTATACCGCATGTCTTTACCAACAACCACGCCACATTCAAAGTCACTTAAATCACCTTTCTTCCCCATCCTGATGCTCGGTTCAAACAGCAGCAGGTCGTCTTGACCATGTCTACATGCCTAAATGCATTGAGTGGCTGATTAGAAATTTGTTCGAAGCAGTTGGACAGGTGTGCCTAATAAAGTGGCCGGTGAGTATATGTACATATTTTTTTGTAAAATACATGATTTACTCAATATTTTGTCCTGTTCTCCAGTGTAAAAATGTAAACTTTCTTAAATCAAAAGACATATACTTGATAATTTAAAATTTCTTTCTGTAAAGAGACTAAGCCGAAAAGAAAATGAATGAATGAAAAGAATTGTTCAAATTAGGTTTTTGCTAAAACAAGAACAAACAACTAAACAACTAGCAATGGTTATGACCAATCTTCATTTAGTTTTAAAAACTAATAAAACAAAATGTTTGGTTTTTAATAGAAAATTACCACAGGTTGAGATTCTTCCTAAAATTTCCTCATTGGACGGTACTGAGATTGATTATGTTGACTGCTATAAATATAATAATAATAATAATGTTGCACATTTATATATCACTTTTCTGGGCACTCAAAGCACTTTACACATAGGGGGAATCTCCTCATCCACCATCAGCGTGCAGCATCCACCTGAATGACGTGACGGCAGACATTTTGCACCAGAGCGCACACCACACACCAGCTGATTTGTGGAGTGATGAAGCCAATTATGATATGGGGAGGGTTAGGAGGCCATGATGGATAGAGACCAGTGGGCAGATTTGGCGGGGTTAAACCCCTACTCTTTATCGAAGGACATCCTGGGATTTTTAACGACCACAGAGAGTCGGCACCTCAGTTTAACGTCTCATCCGAAAGACGGCGCTCACTGAGCAGTATAGCATCCCCGTCACTATACTGGGGTATTAGGATCCACACAGACCGCAGGTTGAGCGCCCCCTGCTGGCTTCACAAACACCACTTCTGGCAGCAACCTAGTTTTCCCATGTGATCTCCCATCCAGGTACTGACCTACCTCAGCCCTGCTTAGCTTCAGTGGGCGACCATGTGAGAGTTGCAGAGAGCTAGCTGCCGGCATCTGGTTAGATGGGAAACTGAGGTTTGAAACTCCCATAAATTAACTGCTCAAAAAGGTTAAAGCCTGCATTGGTTTTCTTTACAGAAACAAAACTTTTTTACTCACTCTTCACAGCAGCATTTGGTCAAATGAACAGTTTTACCAATTCTGGATTATGGGGAATTCATTTACAGATCAGCTTCAAAAACTCTTCTTCACAAACTTGCATGTTATTTATCATGCAGCAGTTCCTTTTGTTACCGGTGCGCCATTTAATACTCATCACTGTCAACTGTATTCTTCACTGAATTGGCCTTCTCTTCAATCACGTCAACAAATTCATTGGTTTCTGTTCATTTACAAAACTCTCATCGCAAAAACTCCACTATATTTACAGTCACTTCTTAACATTCAGGAAACACTTCAAAATCTGCGCTCTAGTAATTTCATTAACCTTTGCATACCGAATGTTCTCACTTTATTTGGTCGCTACTCTTTTCAGTTTTCTGCTGCTGATGCTTGGAATCATCTGCAGCAGACCTTAAAGCTCAGCACTTTCATTCCACTATCATCTTTTAAAAGTTAATTGAGTCAATAGTTCAAGATCACTGTGCTTGTTTTTAGTTTTTTGTTGGTTGTATATATGTTATTATCTGCATTTGTGAAATTGTTACTGTATTGTGTCCCTACTGCTTTGAACTGCATCTGCTTTGGCCAGGTCGTCATTGTAAATGAGAACTGGTTCTCACTTATCTTACCTGGATAAATAAAGGTTATTATGGCCACACCGGCATATATTTTTCAGATAATAAGACTTGATATCAATATCAAATTTGTCCTGAAAAGACCAATAAACTAATGATGAATATCCTTTGTGATTGACATAAACATGCCCAAATTCCATAAGCATGTGAATCAAAAGGGAGCTTCCAGTTAATTAATTTTCTCATCCAGCTCAGCTGGTTCATGTGTTACCAGTAAGACTTGTTTTAACTTTGACATGACAAATGAGTTCTGACAACACAAATGAAAGAAGAACCAATGATTCGAGTCTATATAATATCGTAATTAAGCAAAACTGAACTGTTTTGTGCAAACTTTTCTAGCGTTATTCAGGATTTATCAAGCCCATTTAATGTCTGTATACTTATACTGTATTTCTAATAAATTAAACATTTAATATCATTTACTTGCATTCAGAATATGATGGTTAACCGCAAACGTGTGACAGGTCAATTTAAATTCCAACCATTCTTTACTTTAAGCAAAACTATTTTCATTCTATCAGAACTGAAACGATTCCCTTTCTAGGAATCATGACATCGCTGTCATTTCCTCCATGAGATGTTAAAAGGTGCTCTCAGATGGTGAGCATTCAGTAGCCGTCAGCATGTCTTTCACATGTCTCCTCCTGGCCGGGCTTCTGCTGCCCTACACCGTAACAGCCTCACAATATTATGGAGGATCAATGACCTTCAACTCAAGACTGAGCTCTAATGGTTCATATGAGGTGAGAACTGTTATGCTTTAATATTATTGTAATAATAATATTTTATTAGATTTTTACAAGAGGCTTAACTAGGCAAGTAAGGGTAATTAGGCAAGTCATTTTTATAATGAGGGTTTGGTCTGTAGGCAATCGAAAAAACTACTTTGCTTAAAGGGGCTAATAATTTTGACCTTAAAATGTTTTTAAAAAAATTAAAAACTGCTTTTATTCTGGCTGAAATAAAACAAATAAGACTTTCTCCAGAAGAAAGAATATTATAGAAAATACTATAAAAAGTTCCTTGCTCTGTTAAACATCATTTGGGAAATTTTGGGGGGAAAAAACTGGCCGTAGGGCTAATAATTTTTTTGACACACATCTGAATTTTATTAGTCTGGCACAGTGATAACGAATAAGGATGAATACATCAGGTGATTTGTTTATTGCTTTGATCAAAAAGAAGAATTTTGAAATAAAAAGTACATCATTTTATATGTAATCTATGAATATATGAAACTATAGAATTTGTATATACTGTATAAACAGTTGAAGTTAGAATTATTAGCCCCGCTTTAATTATTGCTTTATATTTTCCAAGTTATGTTTAACAGAGCAAGGAAATGTTTAACAGTAGGTCTGATAATATTTTATCTTCTGGAGAAAGTCTTATTTGTTTTATTTTGCCTAGAAAAAAAGCTGTTTTAAATTTTTTAAAAACCATTTTAGGGACAAAATTATTAGCTGTGCAGAGTTTGCATGTTCTCCCTGCGTTAGCGTGGGTTTCCTCCAGGTGCTTTGGTTTCCCCCACAGTCCAAAGACTGAATTCACACGAAGTTGAATTGGGTAGGCTAAAATTGTCCGTAGTGTATGAGTGTTAATGAGTGTGAATGGGCAACCAGAGCGTAAAACATGCTGGATAAGTTGGCAGTTCATTCCGCTGTGGCAGAATGCATTAAAAAAGGGACTAAGCTGAAAAGAAAATGAATGTGAATATATGTATAAATGTTGGTATCACTTTATTGTGATGGTCACTTTAACGCATGTTGTTGAATTTGTTACATTGCACCTACTTGCCAACTAATTCTCAATAGATTATAGTAGACTGTTAGGTTAGGGTTAAGGTAAGTGTGAGTTGATATGTCCTTGCAAAGGATCTTATAGTCAGTTAAATGTCTGTTGAAGATGCAGTATCAGCAGACTTAAACAGGCAGTCTACTAATACTTAAACGAGAAGTACTGTAACTGGCATGTACAGTTGAAATAATGTTGATAATATTTTTTCTTCTGGAGAAAGTTTTATTTTTTTAATTTCGGCTAGAAAAAAATCAGTTTATAATTTTAATTAAAATATAATTATTAACCGGCTGAAGCGTTTTTATTTTAATAGTCTACAGAACTATCTGTATCTTCTGACATCAGCTGTAGTTGCAATGCAACTTAAATGTGTAATAGGGACCATCAAAAAAAAAGTCTTACCAAAAGTTTCTTGTTTTGGCTATTTTTATTCATTTTTATTTAATTAATTAATTAATTAATTTTTTACTTAAATAATTTATTTATTATAAATAAAATTATTGTGTCAAATTCTTTGCATATATTTGCATTTTAAATGTAAATGCAAAGACAACACAATAACACATAATGCCAATAATAGAATAAACGTAAAAGTGTATGCATTCTATATATATGCAGTTTTTCGTTTTCTTTAGTAGTTGTGCTAATTTATTTTTAAAAGTTAGATTAAGGGTCACTATAAATAACTAAAAGTAGAACTATACAACTTTTAAAGCTAAATTATACTTCCTTAATTGTAGGCACACCTGAATAGTTTTATGCAACACCATTTAAAACGGGTTTTAAGTGCAGTATTTCAAATATAAAGTAAAGATGTTTGCAGATCACTACCTGCAGATTTCAACATCAACCACATACCTTAAAGACCTCACTTCAGTCATTTATTAAACTATTGATTATTTCAGGTGGAACTTCGTTACAAGACTGCCTACAATGACTGTTCCCAATATAATGACTGGTCCTGCATGTCTGGAGACTGTGGAAATGAGGTCAGTAAAGTGATTGGTAAAGTAGACTCGAGTTCCAATGGAAACAACTGGTGTCAGTCTGAGGGAGTCATAACAAAGGATTTATCCACCAACAGACCATTTGAGTTAGTGTAAGTGGAATAACAGAATCACACACTTACAATATAGATCCCAACCAAACAATGTAAATATGAAATGCCAATTTATTTTAACAGGTCAATGGGTTGCTGTTGGATCAACGACATAGTTGCATACTCCGGATTCTGGAATCTTTTTTCTTTCATTGACCTGGGAGTGAGATCGGACACTTTGGTGCCTAACAAATCCCCAATCTCTACCACTCTACCATTTCTTAAGTAAAAACGGCGTTCCACATGTGCATTTAACATGATGTAGGAAAATAAATGTACATGACATTGGCACATTGTTTGTGTTGCAGAGTTCCTCAAAACTGTGCCAGGAGGTACAACATTTTAGCCTTTGATCCAGATAAAGACGACCAGGTCAGATGCAGATTTGGACAAAACAATGAGTGTAAAATCTGCAACCAACCTGATGGTTTCACATTGAATCAGGTGAATAATATTACATTATGAAGTACAAAATGGCATCTTCACAAAGTTTTATTTTAAAGAAATATCTTTATTTAATTCCAAACAGTCTTTAAGCCAGTTTAAAGCATTATATGTAGTTACTGATGTCTTACTCTTACCATCTGACTGCTGTTGCATTTCTGTATTATTGTTAATAGAGCAAACTTCTGCATTCAGTGCCATCAACCAAAACATTTTCTTATATAGTATTTAAAATTATGTTGGTATTACAGAAATTACATTGACAAAGTTCAAATTAAGAGCTATAATATTGGTCACAAATATAAAATAGAGTACCACAATGTTCCATACATAAATCATTAATTGCCATGCTTTATACTACACTGGAGTTTAATTGTTTTGCTGAAAATACTTAGCTCTATATTTCTTTTAGAAAACTGACAAAACTTAATTCACATAATTTACAATGTGCATAGTCGATATTAATCATTGGATGATTAGCAACTTATTTCAAGGGAAAAATAAATGTTAATTAATAGATCAGTGTCAGAAGTGGTAAAAATAGCAACAGATAAAGTGGGAGATTTTAAAAAGGATTGTTATGATGTTGAAAATCAATGCTATCATTTTAAAATAAACTAGAAAAAAACATACATCAAAAGTATGCTTTTCATCAAACAATCAGGACATTTTACACATTTTACCCAGTGTTTCAGTTTTTCATACAGTTTTTTTTTATGTAGAACAACTGCTCTCTGTCATATGGACGAACCCTGATCCTTGGAGTTTATTCATTTGAACTTGTAATGGAGGATTTCCCCATTCGCAAGATTACTCTGTCCTACAACGATCAAACTTCAGTGGAAAGATTTCCAATCAGTTTAATCAGAAACAGACGCAATGCTATTGCCAAAACAACGCCTAAAACAACTCCTACAGCAAAGTGCAAAACAACGAGCACAACAACAACGTAGAACAACACGCACAACAACACGCACAACAACAAGTACAACACCGCCAAGGCGACGCATTACAACCCCTACAACCAAAAGTAAAAAAACACCCACAACTACAACATACTCTACAATATCTAAAACAACACCTACAACAACAAGCACAACAACAGCCAAAACAATTACTACAACAGCACTTCCAATAAGGTCCAATACAACAGCACCCACTACAATAACTACAACAACACCTATTACATCAACAACAACAACCAGAACACCTTTACCAGCACACACAACAACACCAGCACCCACAACAACAACCACAATAATTCCTACAACAACACCCACAACAACAACCGAACCCACAACAACAACCACAATAATTCCTACAACAACACCCACAACAACACCCGAACCCACAAAAACAACCACAATAATTCCTACAACAACACTCACAACAACACCTGAACCCATAACAACCACTATTCCTACAACAACAACCACAACAACACCCGAACCCACAACAACAACCACGATAATTCCTACAACAACATCCACAACCACACCCGAACCCACAATAACAACCACAATAATTCCTACAACAACACCCACAACACCCGAACCCACAACAACAACCACAATAATTCCAACAACAACACCCACAACAACACCAGAACCTACTACAACACCCACAACAACACCCGAACCCACAACAACAACCACAATAATTCCAACAACAACACCCACAACAACACCCGAACCCACAACAACCACAATAATTCCTACAACACCCGAACCCACAACAACAACCACAATAATTCCAACAACAACACCCACAACAACACCTGAACCCACAACAACAACCACAATAATTCCTACAACAACACCCGAACCTACAACAACAACCACAATAATTCCAACAACAACCCCCACAACAACACCCGAACCCACAACAACAACCACAATAATTCCTACAACAACACCCACAACACCCGAACCCACAACAACCACAATAATTCCTACAACAACACCCGAACCCACAACAACAACAATAATTCCTACAACAACACCCACAACACCCGAACCCACAACAACAACTACAATACTTCCTACAACAACACCAGAACCTACTACAACCCCCACAACAACACCTGAACCCACAACAACAACCACAATAATTCCTACAACAACACCCACAACACCCGAACCCACAACAACAACTACAATAATTCCTACAACACCCGAACCCACAACAACAACCACAATAATTCCAACAACAACACCCACAACAACACCCGAACCCACAACAACAACCACAATAATTCCAACAACAACACCCACAACAACACCCGAACCCACAACAACAACCACAATAATTCCTACAACAACACCCGAACCTACAACAACACCCACCCCCACAACACTTGAACCCACAACAACAACCACAATAATTCCTACAACAACCCCCACAACAACACCCGAACCCACAACAACAACCACAATAATTCCAACAACAACACCCACAACAACACCCGAACCCACAACAACAACCACAATAATTCCTACAACAACCCCCACAGCAACACCCGAACCCACAACAACAACCACAATACCCGAACCCACAACAACGACCACAATAATTCCTACAACAACCCCCACAACAACACCCGAACCCACAACA